TGAACTTGACAAGAATGTGTATTCTGCGGTTGTTGGATGTAGTCATCTGCACATGTCAACGCTATCAGTTGATGGATGATGCGGTTTAGTTTAGCTCTATCTGACTGACGTGTGTGTGCTGGAACTGTAAATGACCAGCAGAGTAGCAATGAAATCTCCAAATAGAATAGCAGATTGAACTAGTTCTCGCTGTAGTTCCAGCAGTGTTGCCTCACATATTTCAACACTGTTGCTAAGCAATAAGATAGGATTCTGTTTCCTTAGAGAATTAAATTAACCCCCTTGCCATGTAATGCCTTTCTTTGTGTCTGGTAATTTTCCTTGTTCTAAAATGTTTTGTCCATTTGTAATCCCAGCACTTGGGAGTTTGAAGTAGGAAGATCACCGTGCTTTAGAGGCCAGCCTGGGATACCTGGTGGGTTCAAGGCTAGCTTGAACTGCATATTAAGACCCTGTCTCAAAAAAACCACCAAAAACCCAAAAATCTGTTTTGTCTAAAATTAATGTAGTTTCTGGGTGTGGTGGCACATCACAGTACTTGGAAGGCTGAGGCAGGAGGATTGCTGCCAACCTGAACTGCATAGTGAGACCCTGTCTCAAAAAAATAATTAAAAAATTTAAAAATAAATAAGATTAATGTAGTTATTCTACTTTCTTTTGATTAGTGCTAATGTGGTAAATTTCACTCCACCTCTTTACTTTTAATGTAGGTGTCTTCGTATGTAAAGTGGGTTTCTTGTAGATATCATATAGTTGTGTCATTGGTTTTTATTCACCGTGTCATTCTCTTTCAATTTTTGTATTTATACCATTCATATTTAAAGTAATAACTGATATAATTGAATTAACATCTACCATATTTGTTTCCTGTTCATTCCCCTTATCTTTGGTCTGCTTTTTTTCTTCTTCTGTGGTTTTAATTGTGCATTTTATGATTCCATTTTCTTTTTTCCCCTGTTAATAAATTAATTTTACAAATTTTTTTAGTGGCTGCCCTTGAGTTTACATTTAAACTACTCTTAGTCCACTTTCACATAACAATATACCACTTCTAGTGTAGGAATCTTATAGCATTCTTTGTAATATTCTCAACCTTTACTTTAATGTTATTTCTTAGTTTTTCTCTTTTTATTTATTTATTTATTTTTTGTCTTTTTGAGACAGGGTCTCACTATGCAGTTCAGGCTGGCCTTGAGCTCACTTTGTAGCCTAGGCTGGTCTCAAACTTGCAACGATCCTCCTGCCTCAGCCTCCCGAGTGCTGGGATTACAGGCGTGTGCCACCACGCCCGGTTCTTAGTTTTTTCCTATGTATATATTTCTTTCCTATGTACATAGTGTACTTAAAGGAAAAACACACGTCTGCTGATTTTTTTTTCACTTAATACATTGACAGCACAAGCACAAGGTAATTTCAAATAAGATTATTCATTTTACAAACGCTTACGTACTTCTTGTTTCTACCATATAAAAAAATAGAATAGAGGAAACATGACCAACGTGTAGGTACCGTAGGTACCGCAAAGCCTAAACTCTCATATATCGAGGGCAATTTTGGCCCTTAGCCTGCTGTTTAATTAGTTAAGTGACTTCATTGTGCTATGTTAGTGTTTTTGAGCGCCTATAAAAAGGCTTAATTAAAAACATTAAAGTAATTATGTTGCTTATCCCTTAGTTTCTCTTTCTATATAATGACTCCTAGGGCAGAACCTCTTCCTCAGGGCATGACGAAAGATGAAAGAGAGATAACAGCGGAAGATAGAAAACATCCAAATAAGCACATTGTGCTGAGTGCAGTGTCCTGCATGACCTCACCTGCGCGGAATGTGAGAAAACCAAAGGTGGAAAAGCGCAGAGCAGGCGGGTGGGAGCCAGGAATGCGGGTGGGGGCAATGGGGAGATGCGGGTCAAGGTACAAAGTTTCAGTCTGGATGAATAAATTCCACAGATCTAGTGTACAGCATGGTGACCACGGTAACTAATAACGCATTTCATACTTGGAAAGAAGAGAGAGCAATTTCAAGCATTTCAACACACACAGTAAGTATGTGCAGTGACGGATATGTTCATTAGCCTTGATTGGATCATTTTATGGTGCACACATCTATCAAAACACCATGTTGTACACCGTGAAAATATATAATTATTGTGTGTTGATTTTATCTTGATGAAGTTGGAGTAAAATTAAAGAACACACCCAACTTAATTTTGTTGTTGTTGTTGTTGTTGTTTTGAGACAGGGTTTTGCAGTGTAGCCCAGGCTGCCTTGAAGTCTCAGCGATCCTCCTGCCTCCGGCTCCTGAGTGCTGGGATGACAGACGGGCGCCGCCACACCTGGCTCAAACTTAAAATGTGAATGTTTAGTCTCATCTTAGAATTTTCGCTGGGGAAGCAACAAGACACAGTTGAAAGGGTGACACCAGGCTCAGGCCGTCTCCAGCCCGGGAAAGGGTGCTGAGCCCATGGTCACCTCTGGCAGCTGTGAGAAGGAGCCTTCCTGGGCAAGGGCAGCAGATGGCACCGGACGGGCCAGCGCAGGTGCTCCAGAGACGCTGGGCCGGAGGAGCGGGCCGCGGCGCTGGCTGGGAAAGAGGATGAGTCTGTGCTCGGGTAAGAAGTGCATATTCCATCTCTGCCCTGCCTGTCCCTGGGAGACCTCTCCGTTCTCTTTTGCTTTTCTTTTCTTTTTTTTTCTTCTGAGACAGGGTCCCACTATGCACTTCAGGCTGCCCTTGAGTTCACTTTGTAGCCTAGGCTGGCCTCGAACTCACAACAATCCTCCTGCCCGGAGTGCTGGGATCAGAAGAGCGCACCACCATGCCGGTGAGACCCCTCTGTTCTCACGCGTGGTCTTTGTTCCAGTTCCTCACACAGCTCCTGAGACTGTTGCCATTTGGGGAGTGATAACATCTGATCCAGGCCGGAGTCCCTGGGGATTCCTGGGTGGTGGCAGCAGCTTTAACCCTGCTGAGCTGACTCTGGGGGCCCCTGGGGGGTGGAAGGGGGTGACAGAGGTGGTTGTGGGCACCAGCCATGTGACTGGAGGGTGGGCTGTCCTCCCTTCCCCTCCCTTCCCCTCCCTCCCCTCCCCTTCCATCTCTTCTCCATCTCCTCTCTTCTCCTCTCCTCTTCTCTTTTTCTCTCTGTGTGTTTTGGTTTTTTTTGAGACAGAGTCACCTTATGTAGTCCAGCCTAGTCTTGAACTCACTATGTAACCCAGGCTGACCTTAACCTCTGGACGATCTTCCTGCCTCAGCCTCCAGAGAGCAGGGATTTCAGATGTGCGCCACCACACCCAGCTTGCTCCTTCCTTCTCTCCCTCCCTTTGCTCATCCCTCCTCCCAGAGATGGAACCCAGGGCCTTAGAGATGTTGGGCAAGCGCCCTACTTCTGAGCTACATCCCTAGCTCCCAAGGCTGGGACTTTCAGCCTCATCCTCCCCACACGGACAGAAACACACACACAGACAGAAACACACACACAGACACAAATACACACAGACGCAAATACACACAGACGCAAATACACACAGACACAAATACACACAGACGCAAACACACACACAGACACAAACACACACAGACACAAACACACAAACACACACAGACACACACACAGACAAACACAGACACAAATACAGAGACACAAACACACAGACACACAGACACACACACAGACACAAACATACACAGACACAAATACACAGACACAAACACACACACACACAAACACACACACACACAAACACACACACACACAAACACACACAGACACAAACACACATACCTCTGCAGAGGGGAGGGGATAAGGCCATATTAACCAGCAACGGTCAATGGAATGAATAAGGCATAGGCCTTATTGATGCCTCCCTGAACCCTCAGGAGGTCAAGGAACGTGAGTTTCAGGGAAGCCGAATGAAGAGCGACCCCAAGGGAAGGCAGGGAGCCCCGCCTCCACCGCCTCGCCCCATCCCTTACCTTGCACCACCTGACCCCACCTGACCCCACCTGACAGCCTTTGTGATGAATGGGCAGCTGAAGTCGGGAGTCTCCCGGAGCGGTTGAGCCACTCCAGCAAGCCCAGGAGGGGGTGGCAGAGCCCAAGGTGCAAGGAACCTGGTTGGTGACTAGCACAAGTGACAAGCTACTCTTTGCGGCAATACCAGAAGTGGGGGGACCCCACTGGGGGGACCCGCCTGTGGGAAGCGACCCCCATGTCCAGGTGGATAGTGTGGGAACCGAGTCAGGATCAGGAAAGCACACCCTGGGTGTGTCTGGTGGGGCGTGGACGTTCGACCTCGGTGCCATGTCTGTCCCCCGCTCTTCCTCTCTGGAGCTAACCGCTTCTCTGCTTCAGGGCCACCATGAACTGAGCAGCTGTCCTCCGCCACACCCTCTGCCACGCTATTCCTGCCTTGGAGCCCACTGACCACGGAACAAATTCCCTGAAAACATGAGCCACATGAACTCTGACCTTTAAGCTGCAGGGGCTGGTACTGTGTTCCAGGGAGGGGACGCTGACTAACACAGGCACCAATCAGAGATCACGTGACAGGAAGGGGCAGGCAGACTAACAGGACAGTCATTCCTGAAGCTGAGGGTTCTGGGACCCAGGGGCCCAAGGGAGGAGGAAGGGGCTGGGCCAGGGGACAGTGGGGTGAGTCCCACTCTGCCGGCCGTTCAAGCGGAGATGCCTGCCTGGTGCTGGAGAATGATCTGGAGCAGCGGGAAATCGCTATGCATGGACCTTGGCTCTGCACACAGCCATGGACTTTGCAGCCTGCGGAGCCACCGTGCATCCAACACAGTGGGACACAGGACAACAGAGGTGACGGGAGCAGGAAAGCTGAGCGAGCGAGCGAGCGGCAGAGAGGACAGCCGGGTGCCGGGGCCGGAAGCCCTCCTCGGTTTTCGGGGGAGGGGGTGTCGCTTTCATGTGCTTGCTTGTTTGTTGCAGGCCTGGAGATATTAGCTGTCTCCTCCCAAGAGTGACTTCGTCCTGAGGACCTGGGCGGACTTCTTCACCACTGCTGAGGGGCCTGATGTCTGTGTGTAGGTGACAGCAATGTGTTGTGTCACACTGGACCTCAGGGACAGGCAGAGAGGAGACCGTTGTGAAATAAGTTGCATTCCTGCTTCTCTCTTAGAAGGCTGTGGTTAGACCCACAAGAAAGATTGTTTCATATGGTTGGGCAGGTTGCACACTGACCAAAACTAGAGGGGCCATTTCACACCTTGTGTAGGGTATAAACTGGACGAGAAACCACAGGCAGATGGCAGCCTTCAGGAGGGGGACATCTTTTCCTAATTTGCATTTCTGATTGAACCCAGGACCTTTGGAATGAGCTACATTCCCAGCCCTTCTTCCTCCCTCCCTCCCTTCCTCTCTCTCTCTCTCTCTTTCTTTCTTTCCTTTGACAGGATGTTGCTAAGTCTCTAAATTGCCTACATGAGCTCCCACTTGGTATCCTTCTGCCTCAGCCTCCCAAATAGCCAAGATTACAGCACACACTACCACATCTGTCTAATTTCCAGCCTTTTAAACCATGATTTGAGCCAGGTGTGGTGGTGCACGCCTGTAATCCCAGCACTCAGGAGGCTGAGGCAGGAGGATCTTTGAGAGTTCAAGGCCAGCCTGGGCTACAAAGTGAGTGCAAGGCCAGCCTGAACTGCATAGCGAGACCATCTCAAAAAGACAAAACAAAACAAAACAAAAAAACCCATGATTTAAAAGAAATGGGAATGAAAGGAAATGAAGAGCCGGGCCCATTTAAGACTCTCATAATAACTGCGTTGCTGAGCATGGCTACAAGGTATTGAGTGATTACTGCGTGCTCCCATGGTTTAAAGCAGAACACCATGAGTTCTCATGTGACCTGTGGATCCTGTCCCAGGTTAGGAGACGTCCCCAGTACAGCCCAGTTCTGGATGGCCCGCAGCCACCCATTTCTCTGGTCACTAAGGCCTCTCCACTGTGACATGCCAAGCAAACTAAGGTCACGTCCTTGTCCTTTCAGGACGGTATCTGTCCATTTACCTGACTCAGCAGTTGTTTTCTCAATCACCACATTTTGCCAGCGGGAAACTCCTGAGCAGTTAAGTGCAGGTCCTGCCTGAGCAGTGTCCACTGGGTGCTGTGTGGGGCCTCCAAGGTCCACAAGCAGGCTCTGCCAGGCTGCAGCGCCCCACATGGTTTGGGTGTGCTATTTTTATTTATTTATTTTTTTGGTCTTTTTGAGACAAGGTCTCCCTGTGCAGTTCAGGCTGGCCTTGAGCTCACTTTGTAGCCCAGGCTGGTCTAAAATTAGCAAAGATCTTCCTGCCTCAGCCTCCCGAGTGCTGGGATTACAGTTGTGCGCCACCGTGCCCGACTCAGTGTACTATTTTTAAAATGCTCCTGAGATAGCAGCTTTGTGGGGATGAGGGCTGTGTTTTGCTAATGCTATAAAATAAACAGCAGCTGGCACATAGTATACCCGCCAAAACACTGAGTGAAGTCTGAAATGGGGGTGCACACCTATAATCCCAGCACTCTGGGAGGCTGAGGCAGGAGGATCACAAGTTTAAGGCTAGCCTGGGTAATATAGCAATTTATCAAGGCCCTGTTTCAAAGTATTAAATAGAAAAGAACTGGGAATATAGCTCAGTGAGAAGGCCCTGAATTCCATTTCCAGCAACAAAACCAAACCAAATTCCTGCTGAGTGAATGAATGTATCCTTGCTCTTAGCGCTCTGGGAGAATATGTGACACCAACCACCCCCTCCCTCAAAAAAGAGACAATGGCTTTCTTAACTCTTGTGCATTTTACTGTAGAGCAGCACATATTGTGGGATACTAACAGTGTCTTTTTCCTGTCTTCTTCAATGTATCCCTAGTTACAACAGAGCAAAAGTTTCTGTCCCACAAGGATTTGGAGGACAGCTAGGCTGGACCAGGAGCCGGGCTGCAAGAAGGAGCCCTGTGCCTGGGGCGGCCCCTGCTGGCATGGGCGGGAAGGGGCTCCCAGGAACTGCCCAGGCTTTCCCTGGAGGACCTCAGGTTACAGGGTGGAAGACCTTAGGTTATAGGTCAGAGAACCTCAGGTCAAATGTCAGAGAACCGGTCTTGCATCCCAGGAAGGCCCTTAGAGACACATATTACAAATGGGGAGACCAAGGTCCAGAGAGGTCACTTGGCTTTTTCTGAGGTCACACAGCCAGTTACGTCCAGAGGGGTGAGAAGTTGGATTCCTGACCTGTGCCTCCCAAATTAGCAATGAGGGGCTGAATCCTAATTCTAGTCTCTTCCGCCTTTGTGAAAATTAACAGTTACCCATAAATCTACGGTGCCTGTTTTTTTCCGACTGATGCCCTCCGCTTCATAGCTATATTGGGAACCAGGCAGAGGTCCAGTATATTTTTAAAAATCACTGCTTCTGGATCCTAGGTGCTCCACTGGTGTGGATTTCCTTAAGAACTGGAGTGGTCACCTCTGCCTACCCGCTCCTTTCACAGGTCTTGTATTTTGAAGGTCTTCCCACCCCAGTATTGTGATCAAAGCCAGGCCCTTGCAAATGCTAGACAAGCTCCCCACCATTGAAATTCATCTTCAGCCCTTTGTATTTTTAATTTTGAGACAGGTTGGCTTTTTTTTTTTTTAGGTATCAAGAATTGAACTCAGGACCTTGCACTTGCCAGGCAGACGCTTGTACCACTGAGCTATATCCCTGGCCTGAGACAGGTTGGCTTTGAACTTACAATCCTCCTGCCTCAGACTCCCAAGTAGTCTGGATTACAGGTGTGTGCCAACACCACTGCCTGCCTGAAGGTTTCGAATCTACCAAACAAAGCACACATTAGGATAAAAATGTTCTTGTTTTAAAATGTATAGACGTGCCAGGTGTGGTGGTGCATACCTGTAATCCCAGCACTTGGGAAGCTGAGGCAGGAGGATCATTGTGAGTTTGAGACCAGCCTGGGCTATAAAGTAAGCTCAAGGCCAGCCTGAACTGCATAGTGAGACCATGTCTTAACAAGCCAAAAATAAATAAAAAGTACAGACGCATCAACCATTATGCACCCTACTGATATTATCAAATGAAATTAAAAATCTAAAACATGATAGTAATTGCTACATGGTAAACATGCTAAAAATGTTGGCTAGTATGATAACATAATTTGTTGGCTGTGGTGGCACAAGCCTGAAATGCCAGCACGCTGGAGGCTGAGGCAAGAGGGTCATTGTGAGTTCCAGGCCAGCCTGGGCTACAAAGTGAGTTCAAGACCAGCCTGAACTGCATAGTGAGATAGTGAGACCCTGTCTTAAAAAGACCAAAAAAAAAAAGAAATACACACACACACACACACACACACACACACAAAATTACATAATAACAGCCACAGTGTGTGTGTGAGGGTATCAGTCTACACAGCCTTATGGAGGATACCTGGAGCCCCCTAACCCTGGGCCAGGTGCTGACTCTAAGCCTTCAATCTTCCAGGCTGGGTGTGGGACACACTGTTCCCATGTAGAATGGTATTTTTTGTTTTTGAGACAAGGTCTCACTATGTAGCTCAGGCTGACCTCAACCTTGCAGTGACTTCCTGCCTCAGTGCTGGGATGACAGGGTGCACCTCCCAGGTTCCCTCCTTCGAGCTTTCAGGGTTCTTCACATCTCTGAATGGCTCTGTGACACTGTGACCAATGGTCACCTCCCACTGTCAACCAAATCCTATGCTTTCTCCTTTAAAGTAGCACACTACTTGAATGCCTTATCACAATGGAGGGTGTGTCGGCGCTGGAAATCATAACTTGGAACCAGCAAGCATCAAAAATGGGTGTGTGGTCTGAAAGCATCTCCCTACAATGGTCCACGGTACCAGGGAAAACCCAGTAACTCACAGTACAAGGCAGACACTGGGCACCACCGAACATGATGGGCCCAGGGAACGACCTAACTCCATTTCCACAGGATGGACCAGGGCTGCAGGATCTGAACATAATCATATGGAGACCTCACCGAGACCCCCAAAAGAAATGTCCAGCTATCGAAAAGGACCCCGTACTCCAGATTGTCATAAAAGACAAAACCAAAACGAAACATAGAAACATTCATACTCTAGGGGCAAAATAACTAACCCCAATCCTGGCCTAGAGAGGACCTGTTTGCATAGGGGGAAAGGCTGTAAAGCACATTATCAGGTCAGCTGTCAACTAGAATATGGATGAGAGGGTATATGAAAGTATTGCATTAAGGTTCCATGTACCGAACCTGAATTATGTTTTTAATGTAAAAAACACCTCCTGTGTGGCATGTTGTTTTTTATTTTTTTCTGGTTTTTCTCCAGTACTGGGAATTGAATTCACGACCTTGTGCTTGCCAGGCAGGCGCTGTACTGCTGAGCTAAATCCCCACCCCAAGCTAAATCCCCAGCCCTGTGGCATGTTCTTTAACAGAGACAAGCTGCACTCTCAGTAAGAGATGTGCCATGGAGCTGTGACAGCCCCCTGTGAAGGTGAGCCTGGCAGACAGGTGCTGCCTAGATCTCACCCAACAGGTACCGAGCACTCTCCACGCCAGGGCTCCAACTACTCCCCACGTAGCACCACAATACCCTGGCTTTCTACTTCGTTTCTTTGTGTTTCTTTTTACTCTGCTTTTCTAACTTGGGTGGAAAACTTTATTTTACCTTTGAATTTTTTCTTTTGATAACAAAGTCATGGGCTGGGGAGATAGCTCAGCAGTGCAGCACCTGACTGGCAAGTGCAAGGTCCTGAGTTTGATTCCTGATACCAAAAAACAAACAAAAAAAGAAGTCATTTAATACTGTGAATTTGCTATGGTTAGAAGTCTGGTTTTTATATACAGTGTTCTTGTTTTTGTTTCTAATGTAAAACAAAAACAACTAGAATTTAAGGTAAAGGTTGAGCTTCTTACATGCACCACTAAAGACAGTTTCCTGGATTATCCACTGAGATGTTTTAAGATGGTAGAAAATAGAATGTTCCACTATGGTGTGCTCATTAAGGATAGTCAAAATGAATGCACAGAACAGTTATCGGATTGGCTAAAAGAGGCTCCACTTTTCAGAAGTCAGGAAAAATCCTTGAGTTGAGCCCAGAAGCAAATATTCTGGCCTGCTAGGGTCACTCAGAGTTCATGGTTCTTAAGAGATGCAGCTGAAGGAAGACAACGCTGTTTTATTATCTTCCAAGCAAGTGTGCTGGGAGTGGGGTACTTCCTGTTTCCTGCCCGTTCTGTTAGTCTTTCCTTTGCCTAAAATGATGAGGTGACCACATAAATAAAAGCCCAAGTTATCCAGTCCCAGTTCCACACGTCTATATGGCTTTCAGTGTTGTGTCTATTAGCGTCGCCTCACTTTCCTTCTAACACTGCATCACCTGTGGTTTGACCTAATGGGCTGGCAGCTTTGCCGAAGCGTTTACACCCTATGAACAATACACCTGGCTGCAGCATCAGTTAGGAACAAGGGCAAAGAATAACTGAACTAACATAGTGGAGAGTCCTCAACCAACTCCCTATTAGGCCAAACCAAGTCTTGTAAAAGAAAATCAAACAGTTGAGTTTCTCCTACCTGGGGCAACCCATCGGCTTGTTCTTGAACTTTATCATTCAGAAGCACAAACGCAAACAGCACAAGAGAGGACAGCCAGCTCGCGGGTGCCATGTCGTTTGGTCCACATCTCCCCTAGATCAGTTCCTCATCAGCATGTGAATTAGAGTTGGTTCCGCAGACACAGGTTATGGGCACCTTGGTTGTCACTGTAAGGGACAGGTTTCGAATATATCCTGTAGAGGCCCAGGCAGCAGCTCTGCATCAGAGTATGTGCTTGGCATACACCAGGCTCAGGGTTTAATCCCTAGCACCAAAAGCAAACCAGAAAAAGTATCCTACTAAATCCACATACTCAAAACTGGGAGAAACCTGGGCACCAAACAATGGAAACCAGTATCTCCAACTCCCCTGGGGGAAGCCTGTGCTTCGACAGGTACACTGATGAAAGGGGGTTAGTGCATCCCGCTAGCATGGAGCACTGGTGGTTCAGAGTCGCCTGCCAGGAAGACATACAATTTCCAGCCCTGTCGTGAATGGGTGGAATCTTCTGGGGTCTCTCCAAGGACTGTAGACATATTAACCTAAATAATGACATACCCCATTGCTCAGGGACAGGATCATGTTCTCCAAAGAGATTCTCCAAAAGCTTTTCTCATATATATTTAACATTTCTAACCCATTAATTTCACTTTACCTCAGAGGTGGTTGCTGAATGTTGCTAGCCCTTGAGGAATATTTTTGATGAGTCAAGCGGAAACATAAATTAACATTTTTAATGGATGAATCTTATCAGAGTTTTTGTAGAACACTTTAATAAAAGATACCTCATCGGTATTCCAGAGGAAGGACAACAAATCCATCTCTCCAAAAAAGTTCCTCAAGCACCTATGGCCTGATTGAGTCTGAAAAATGAGTTGCCTATGTAAGGATTAGTCCCAGAATTAGAATGGTCAGAAAAATAAATAAAAGTTTTGTGATTTAAAGTAGTTAGTTACCAAGTGAATTTGTCCTGCTGGCTGTGATAGTGTAACTGGTACCAGACTGCTATTCCCAGCATAAATAACAAGAGAAAGTAGGAGACAACTATTTTCAGGCATTGGACCACAGGTGGCAAAGAAGTGTGACCCTCCAGAGATGGGAAACTCATCAGGTGAGTTGCATACTTTCCTGGCCATGATATGGGATGGTGGGCTGGAAATATGGTCCCACTGATGTGAGGAGGCGGAGGGCTTGGGGATAGTGAAGCAGATTTGTGGAGTAGACTTAAGGAAGCCACCGTGCAGAGGGGACAGGGCTCATCCTTGGCTGAAGGTGGGCTCTGCTTGAACAGGGCAAACTATGCAACAATCAACAGAAAACAGCTGCTAGAGGAGGACGAGTGCAGAACAGAAATAGGGAGGGAACAGCAACTAAAAATTAAGATGTGTGGGTGTATCAGTCAGGGTTTTACTGGAGAAACAGATATAACACAGGATGTACAAATTATAAGAAATGACAAGATTGGCTTACGACGGTCAGCCAGAGAGTTGTATGAGGAAGTGTGCAGAGGGTGTCTGCACACTGAAGACCGAAGGAGTCAGTCCAGGGTCTGGAGTTCATTGCAGAGTTCCGTGCAAGTCCGTACCAGGAGGCCGATGAGTCTGCGATGGAAGGCTGAAGGACCCAAGGTGGAAGCCGAAGAGTCTGCACTAGAAGCCAGGAGACTAAGCCCAAGCTGAAGGTGAAGACTGGAGCTCCTCCAAAAGGAATGGAAGTACCTCTGTCCTTCCTCATTTCCCTTTTATATTATCTAGGTGATGATCCACCCTCGGGTGGCTCCTCTACACCCTAGGGTGAAGAATTGCTGAGCCAATTGCTGAGCCAAGTTTAGTTATGCTTCTAAATTTCTCAAAATGACATAATCAGTCAACACTACAGTGGGGCTAGGGATATAGCTCAGTGGTACAGTGCCTGCCTGGCAAGTGCAAGATCCTTAGTTCCATTCTCGGTACAAAAAAAAAAAAAAAAAGATGTGTTATATATGTACACCAAGTTTCCACAATGAGTACAATCATGATGTACCACATGAACTAATGAAAATACAAAAGACTAGAAATACCAGAGTTTGAGTGGGGATGAATCAACCAGAACTGACAGAGCTTAGTACTACTTCAGTCACTGAGCCGAGAAACCAGAGCCAATGGCACGGGAATAAAGACTAGCTCTTGTATCTAGCTCCTAACTTTTTCTCCTCCTATCTGCAGATGGGAACAACCTCATCTCTTCCTGGATTCTCTGTTCAGATGTCTTCTTAACCACAGGGATCAGTCCCACACTAAAATCCTTCAAAGAGATTTTATATCCCCGTGTAGTAACAAGTCGCCTCTGTATCCATTTGGGGAAAACAAGACACGGCCACTCCTTGGCAGCCCAAAGTATAATGTCATACTTCAACTATATCTGTACTATAAGGAGCAGAACAAATGGTCAGCGGTGCTTTACATTCAAGCCTTTATGGCCCTCTCCCAGAGGCCTGATCTGTACCCTCCTCTTTTTCATAGAATAACTCCTCAGCAACCTGCTCAGTCAGTACCCTCTGAGATAAAGGACACCTCCTGAGTGCACCCCATGCTAGGCTTGGGGCTCCTTACTAGAGGGTCTTAGACTCAGGGAACCCAGCAAGTTAGCCTACCACTGCTTGACCCCTTCAAGAAGTGGTAGGCACCGGTGTATGGAGTCCATGAAGTTGGTCCCTTTTTAGTTACAGATATTGACCAGGGCAAGGACACCCTGGGTAGATTGTCTGCAGGTCCCGAAGAGTTTGCTGACAGTTTCCAGATCCTAATGATAGCTTCTGAGCAGACCTGGTGAGATGTTCAACTCACCCTCTTTTCTTGTTGCACAGCAGCAGAAAAGAAAAAAAAAAAAAAAGGCATTATCAAGGCTGCAGAGTAGGCCAGTGATGAAGCCTGTAGCTTCACCCTCTGATAATCAGCTGCTTGCAGAGTGATTTGGGTCTCAGGAAGGGCCTGAGTGGAATTATAACACAGGCGGTGGAGAAGATAAGCAAAAGTGACACATCCTGGCCATTTTAGCTGGTATGCCACAAGGGATGCCCAAACCTGTGAATTACAGTAAGCTCAGGTCTATGAGTCAGGGCCCCAGGAAGAACCAAGTTGCTCCTCAGCTTTGGCTTGAAGAGTCTCTCTGTAAATACACTTAGATTCTGTCTGAGTCTAGAGAACTTCAGATTATTCTAAGGACATACTTTATCAGTCAGTCAGCTCCAGATATTAGAAAAAAAGCTCCAGAAACTCCACCTGAGCCTACAAACCAAAATAAGCTGTGTTAGTTACTTTTTTCTTGTTGCTGAGACAAAATACCCGACACCCAAAGTTAAAGGGAGAAAGGTTTATTCAGCTCACAGTACTAGTTGGCTGACTCCAAGGCACAGAGGCACATGGCAGATGGGCAATCATTCATGGTGGTGGAAGACAGCAAAAGCAAGCTAGAAGGAAGGAGAGAGGGAGAGAGAGACAAGACTCTTTCTGTCCCTTATATTGTATGCAGATTACCTGCCTAGGGTGGGCATAGCACTCACACCCATAGTCCCAGCACTGGGACATGAATCAGTCACAAACTCTAGATTCAGCTGCCTGGGAAAAGCCTGCCCCCATGGTATCATGAGGCTTGGGGGGACATCCAGACACAAACCATAGCATAAACCAATTTGTGAATGAAGAGTATCTGGGGCTCTATAACCATGATGAAGTAGAGGACAAATGAGAACTGGATAAGGAAAGGAGACAACAAAAATGAAATTTTATTGATTTTTGGTTTTGTTTTGAGACAAGGTCTCACTTTGTAGTTCAGGCTGGCTTTGAACTCACTGTGTAGTCCAGATTGGCCTCAAACTTGACAACAATCCTCCTGTTTCAGCCTCCCAAGTGCTAATGCTTGTATTACAGGCATGTGGCACCACACCAGACATGAAAATTGAAATTTTTTTGTTTTTTTGAGACAGGGTCTCACTGTGTAGTTCAGGCCGGCTTTGAGTTCACTATGCAGTACAAGCTGGCCTCAAACTCACAGTGATCCTCCTGCCTCAGCCTCCTGAGTGCTGGGATTATAGGCATGTGTCACTGTGCATGGCAAAAATGGAAATTTTAAAATTGTGCTTTAAAGAAAAACTGCAGCCTCAGAACACAACCTGGTTTATTTACTTTTTTCCTTCTCCCAAAACACCAAACGTGGGCGGCTCCCTTTCAGCTGCAAATGGGGCTGTCCATTCCCCTTTTAGTGTAAATGGTCCTCTTCCACCCATGAACAGACTGTCCTTTTGGGGTTTTCCATAGGAACAGACCATTATCATAGTGATACAGGAAAATGAAAACTCCCAACCTGAGTGATATCTAGGAGGAGTTCATGTTCTCTAAAATCGAAGAATGAATTTTAGAAACAATGGAGGTTAAGAGCAGAATATATTTATTGAGGGAAAGAAAAGAAAGCTTCTGTCCGAAAGAGGGACAGAAGAGGCGCCCGAGTGGGTTGCCCAAGCCTCTGTCTTTTCTAGGGACTTTTACAGAGTAAAACCACTAGGTGAGGCGGGTCCAAGGTAAAGGAAAAATGGACAAAACTATGGTCAGCCAATAAGAATTGCTCAGGTAAAACTGATTAAACTGGGATCAAATGGGGAAGCGAGTCACATAGCAAGCAGGCATGAACACAGAACAGGGGCTTTTCCTGTAAGGGGTTGGGTCAATGACTCTTCAAGGTGAGGGCTATCTATTTAGAATATCAATCCCTGATGTTTACACCTAGGGAGGTATGTGGGTGCATTTGTTTAGTCTTTTGTCTTGAGGTCTGGCCCACAGGTATCTTATCTTGTCTTTCATGTTGGCTTCTTCGAGGATCTAGCCCTGTCTGACTGCCTATAGTATTTCTAGCTAACTCAGCTGCCTATAACAATAGGGGTGGGCTATCCTCTCCCACCCACTAACACTAAGACTAGAGATTATCGAATCCCACAGATTTCCACCTCCCCCAAACACATAAAGGATCCCCAGTACTCAACTCTATTGTGCCTCATTTCTTTGAGCACCCGCACTCCACTCTCAAGTGCGTCCTATATCTCCCTCTATTAAATCTTTCTCATGTATCTTTTACTCCTGTGTCCTGAAAATTCTTTTTCCATGATGGGCATCAGGATTGCATAAATTCCTTGGGG